TTGAGGTTATCTTGAGGTTATCTTGAGGTTATCTTGAGGTTATCTTGAGATGATTTCGAGGCTTTTAGTGTCCCCGCGGCCCGGTCCTCGACCAGGCCTCCACCCCCAGGAAGCAGCCCGTGACAGGTGACTAACACCCAGGTACCTATTTTACTGCTAGGTAACAGGGGCATAGGGTGAAAGAAACTCTGCCCATTGTTTCTCGCCGGCGCTTGGGATCAAACCCAGGACCACAGGATCACAAGTCCCGCGTGCTGTCCGCTCGGCCGACCGGCTCCCTTAAATGCTTAATTTATTTTAATGAGCCAGATAGGGTGTAATTTACTGGGCATGTATACTACAGATATATATGTGTAAGTAAATATATATACATGCAATATGTATGTGTATCACAATGTTTTTCTGCTCGAGTCTGTATGTGTAAGTAAATGAGCCTGTTTGGGTGTATGTATGTATGTATGTATGTATGTATGTATCCATGAGTAAATGAGTCTATTCACCTCATTCGGCTTGCGCGTGTTGGGGGGGGGGGGTTCGTGTTCAACCTATCATCATGTTTAGATAGAACTTTTGTAACTATGTACAGCATAGTACAAATATTGACGTACTAAGCAATTAGATAGTAGAGCTTTGTACTGTACAGGGGCATAACTGGCCGACCCCTCACAGTGTTCAAGAGAGAACTGGATAAGCACCTCCAAAGGATACCTGATCAACCAGGCTGTGACTCATACGTCAGGCTGCGAGCAGCCGCGTCCAACAGCCTGGTTGATCAGTCTGGCAACCAGGAGGCCTGGTCGACGACCGGGCCGCGGGGACGCTAAGCCCCGGAAGCACCTCAAGGTAACCTCAAGGTAAGGTACACTTACTATACTATAGTAAGAGTATTTGTACTATAGCGTCGGAAAAAAAGCTAAAACACATCTTACATATTGCTAGGCCTATTATAGCCCATATATGTACTATATTAGGCCTCAGATATCGTGTCTTAGGCCTAAAAAGGTTAGGTTAGGCTAGTTTAATTTGCCTTTAAGAAGGAGAAAATAGTTTTCCAGTTTGTCCAACTCAATAGTACAGATTTCTACTTTCTAATTGAGAATGTATGAATGTATATGCCTTTATGTATCCATTCAAGTATACCTGTGTATGTGTGTATGTGTTTCTGAGTGCATCTGTGTACTCACCTAGATGTGAATACTGAGGTAACATCATGGGCCTCTACATTTCCTCTCTTCTTCAGCAAAGTGAGATTCAGTTCCTTGTATCTCATGCCCCTCAGCTCAGCCCCCTGTCCTCACAGCCTTGTTCCATATCTCTGAATCTTTTCAAGCATTGTCTTGTGTTTCCTGAGGTGTCTGAGAGTTAACTTATCTCCATTACCGTGTTTATCTTCAAACTGAGTCGTAGTTAACGTGCAAATATTCGCATTGGAGTTTATTTTTGTTGAGAAAACTTGAGGGTTTGATGAGGCTTGAAGTGGAGATGCTAAGACCAGGTGTACTCTCTCTCTCTCTCTCTCTCTCTCTCTCTCTCTCTCTCTCTCTCTCTCTCTCTCTCTCTCTCTCTCTCTCTCTCTCTCTCTCTCTCTCTCTCTCTCTGTCTCTGTCTCTCTCTCTCCTCTCTCTCTCTCTCTCTCTCTCTCTCTCTCTCTCTCTCTCTCCCTCTCTTCATTTTCCTTTCCCTGTATCCTCCCTATCTTTATGCTCTTCCCATCTTCATCCTATTTCTCCTTCCCTCTTGCTATTCTCCTTAGCTTTCCCTCTCTCTTATACTTCCACAACTATACTTAACAAATATGTTAAGCTCGCCAGCCTGCTATTAATATGTTCCATAATTGTGGGAGGCTTCACGAACAAGAGTCGACAGTGGTGTGTTTGTGGTGTGGATCATCTGCTTATAATTAACTAATTAACATATAATAATACCACTACTACTAATAATAATAATAAATTGAAAGAAAGAAAGGCCTGAAGGCTCGTATCGTCTGAAAGCAACACCTGAAGGCTCGTATCGTCTGAAAGCAAGGCCTGAAGGCTCGTATTTTCAGCGCCCGAAGACTCGTATCTTCTGAAAGCAAGGCCTGAAGGCTCGTATCGTCTGAAAGCAACACCTGAAGGCTCGTATCGTCTGAAAGCAACACCTGAAGGCTCGTATCGTCTGAAAGCAACACCTGAAGGCTCGTATCGTCTGAAAGCAAGGCCTGAAGGCTCGTATTTTCAGCGCCCGAAGACTCGTATCGTCTGAAAGCAACGCCTGAAGGCTCGTATCGTCTTTACGAGCCATACAAGGAGCCTTCGTATCCTCCCAGGCGAGGTGGAGGCGATAACCAGGCGACTAATAGCACCGTAAACCCAGTTTTATTCCCCCCTGTAGCTGCGTTAATGAGTTTATCTCATGAACATGTGTTTCCTCTTCGTTGTAAGGAGCTTTCAAGTCAAAGGAAACCTGTGTGTGTGTCCATGAATGGTGACCTTTGTTTGGGAGGGGGGAGGGAAGGGGGGTTTTAAGGGGCTTTAAATGGTTAATGTAGACTTAAAAATAGTCCTTTGGATATTTAAGATGTGAGAGATTATTTTTTTGGGGGGCTATAATCTTTAATATGGAGTTTCGGTACACCACGAAGGCTTTTCCACGAGAGAAGGGACAGGATGAGGAAGGGAAGGTGGAACAGGAAATGATCCGTCGAAATGTAATTGACGGGTCAAAATAGACAGAGGAAATTCTGTCTGTTTTTTGCTCTTTCACAGAATATGTAATATTGCGGAAAATAGATGTGCAAATTTGATCAGTAACTCTATGGAAATCAAGTCTCTCATTTCAGCCTTCATCCAAAAACAGTTTGGGGGGTTTGGGGGCGATAGTTCTTATATATATATATAAAAAAAAAGGCAAAATTAGCCCAACCCTTGACTAACCATCCTGCAACACCCACATACTAGCCAGGAGGAATCGTGAACATTTTAGTCACACTAGCCTTAAGCGTTTGACCTACAAGAGTCATTCTCTTATAGCATATGTATACTGGCAGATTACAGACTCGTAAGAACACAGAACACAGAGTAACAAACTGATATACAGAGATATACTGAACACCAGTGAAAGCAGAGTATATGATATATAATATTACCCAAATATATAATATTATATAATATTTAGGGGCCTCGTAGCCTGGTGGATAGCGCGCAGGACTCGTAATTCTGTGGCGCGGGTTCGATTCCCGCACGAGGCAGAAACAAATGGGCAAAGTTTCTTTCACCCTGAATGCCCCTGTTACCTAGCAGTAAATAGGTACCTGGGTGTTAGTCAGCTGTCACGGGCTGCTTCCTGGGGGTGGAGGCCTGGTCAAGGACCGGGCCGCGGGGACACTAAAGCCCCGAAATCAACTCAAGATAACCTCAAGATAACCCAAATAGGAAATAAAAGAGAGAGAAATATAGAGAAATAACCCATAAAGATTTAATAAGCAATAAATGTTAAGCGAAACAGAAGAAAAAGAGGGGATGGAGGAGGTGTAAAAACGAGAGATGGGAAAGAACAGAGAACAAAATTGTTATATACATATTTAGGAAATAACATTTTATATCTTAAGTAAAGGAGAAATGAGAAACTTTTTTTTGTTGACCAGACCACACACTAGAAATTGAAGGGACGACGACGTTTCGGTCCGTCCTGGACCATTCTCAAGTCGATTGTAGTCAAGTCAAGTCAAGTCAAGTCAAGTCACAATCGACTTGAGAATGTTCCAGGACGGACCGAAACGTCGTCGTCCCTTCAATTTCTAGTGTGTGGTCTGGTCAACATACTTCAGCCACGTTATTGTGACTCATCGCCTGCATGAGAAACTTTTACCTAGAGACGAGTATGGCTGACATTCTTGCCCTGGGGAAAATACACTAGGGGGAAAAAACACATGGAAAACGGAAGGGAAAAAACATACTTTGTAAGGAAAATAAGATCGCTTTAACGCAAGGAAAACTCTACTTATATAATATAATTCCATTATATTATCGTCTGGATCATACTGGAAAGTATCGAGCGGGTGGATTATATACTCGTAGAACGTAGGGAGTCTTGTATAGTATAACATAAGTATACTATGATATATCTGTATGGTATACTATTAGAGAATAGTATAACTTACAACATCTTTGTTCTTAATCACCCTTTTTTTGACCTTTATCAAATGAGCCTTTAAAAAGGTATCTTTTGCCACAGCCCTTACCTCATACTTGGCCACATGAGATCCACAGCCCTTACCTCATACTCCTCCTCATCACAACTACAGCCCTTACCTCATACTTGGCCACATGAGATCCACAGCCCTTACCTCATACTCCTCCTCATCACAACTACAGCCCTTACCTCATACTTGGCCACATGAGATCCACAGCCCTTACCTCATACTCCTCCTCATCACAACCACAGCCCTTACCTCATACTTGGCCACATGAGAACCACAGCCCTTACCTCATACTTGGCCACATGAGAACCACAGCCCTTACCTCATACTCCTCCTCATCACAACCACAGCCCTTACCTCATACTTGGCCACATGAGAACCACAGCCCTTACCTCATACTCCTCCTCATCACAACCACAGCCCTCACCTCATACTTGGCCTCATCACAGGCACAACAGTCGAAGACCACCTCAGGCTGCATATCATCACTCTCTTGAACATCTTCACACAGCTCCTTGGTGAGTTCCCCGTCGTCCATGTACCAGATGTCTCGGTTCTCCATCACCAAGGCTCTGTTGGAGAAGAGGGAGGCTCTTGAGTAGGGGCAAGAGAGGGGGGAAATGTGTGTGTGTGGGAGATAATGATGGAGAGTGAGGGAGAGGATGAGAGATAGAGAGAAGTTGTTTGCATCATAAAATTAGAAAAAACGTATTTAAAATGTAAAATAACTATGCAACAATTTGGCTCATATATTCAAGAAAAATAAAAAAATACTTTAACATAAGACACGTAAGTGGTTTTACGTGACACATATCGATGACTAGTGTACACTGGCAGGTGTGGGAACCCCACTGGCAGGCGTGGGAACCACACTAGCAGGTGTGGGAACCATCCTAGCAGGTGTGAGAACCACACTAGCAGGCGTGGGAACCACACTAGCAGGTGTGGGAACCACACTGGCAGGTGTGGGAACCACACTAGCAGGCGTGGGAACCATCCTAGCAGGCGTGGGAACCATCCTAGCAGGCGTGGGAACCATCCTAGCAGGTGTGGGAACCATCCTAGCAGGTGTGGGAACCATCCTAGCAGGCGTGGGAACCACACTGGCAGGCGTGGGAACCATCCTAGCAGGTGTGGGAACCACACTAGCAGGCGTGGGAACCACACTAGCAGGCGTGGGAACCACACTAGCAGGCGTGGGAACCACACTGGCAGGTGTGGGAACCACACTAGCAGGCGTGGGAACCACACTAGCAGGCGTGGGAACCACACTAGCAGGTGTGGGAACCACACTAGCAGGCGTGGGAACCACACTAGCAGGCGTGGGAACCACACTGGCAGGTGTGGGAACCACACTAGCAGGTGTGGGAACCACACTAGCAGGCGTGGGAACCATCCTAGCAGGTGTGGGAACCACACTAGCAGGCGTGGGAACCACACTAGCAGGCGTGGGAACCACACTGGCAGGTGTGGGAACCACACTGGCAGGTGTGGGAACCACACTAGCAGGCGTGGGAACCATCCTAGCAGGTGTGGGAACCACACTAGCAGGCGTGGGAACCACACTGGCAGGTGTGGGAACCACACTAGCAGGCGTGGGAACCATCCTAGCAGGTGTGGGAACCACACTAGCAGGCGTGGGAACCACACTAGCAGGCGTGGGAACCACACTAGCAGGCGTGGGAACCATCCTAGCAGGCGTGGGAACCATCCTAGCAGGCGTGGGAACCACACTAGCAGGCGTGGGAACCACACTAGCAGGCGTGGGAACCACACTGGCAGGTGTGGGAACCACACTAGCAGGTGTGGGAACCACACTAGCAGGCGTGGGAACCACACTAGCAGGCGTGGGAACCACACTAGCAGGCGTGGGAACCACACTGGCAGGTGTGGGAACCACACTAGCAGGCGTGGGAACCACACTAGCAGGCGTGGGAACCACACTAGCAGGCGTGGGAACCATCCTAGCAGGCGTGGGAACCATCCTAGCAGGCGTGGGAACCACACTAGCAGGCGTGGGAACCACACTAGCAGGCGTGGGAACCACACTAGCAGGCGTGGGAACCACACTAGCAGGCGTGGGAACGACACTGGCAGGTGTGGGAACCACACTGGCAGGTGTGGGAACCACACTGGCAGGTGTGGGAACCATCCTAGCAGGTGTGGGAACCATCCTAGCAGGCGTGGGAACCATCCTAGCAGGTGTGGGAACCATCCTAGCAGGTGTGGGAACCACACTAGCGGGCGTGGGAACCATCCTAGCAGGTGTGGGAACCATCCTAGCAGGTGTGGGAACCATCCTAGCAGGCGTGGGAACCATCCTAGCAGGTGTGGGAACCATCCTAGCAGGCGTGGGAACCATCCTAGCAGGCGTGGGAACCACACTAGCAGGCGTGGGAACCACACTAGCAGGCGTGGGAACCACACTAGCAGGCGTGGGAACCACACTAGCAGGCGTGGGAACGACACTGGCAGGTGTGGGAACCACACTGGCAGGTGTGGGAACCACACTGGCAGGTGTGGGAACCATCCTAGCAGGTGTGGGAACCATCCTAGCAGGCGTGGGAACCATCCTAGCAGGTGTGGGAACCATCCTAGCAGGTGTGGGAACCACACTAGCGGGCGTGGGAACCATCCTAGCAGGTGTGGGAACCATCCTAGCAGGTGTGGGAACCATCCTAGCAGGCGTGGGAACCATCCTAGCAGGTGTGGGAACCATCCTAGCAGGCGTGGGAACCATCCTAGCAGGTGTGGGAACCATCCTAGCAGGCGTGGGAACCATCCTAGCAGGCGTGGGAACCATCCTAGCAGGTGTGGGAACCATCCTAGCAGGCGTGGGAACCATCCTAGCAGGTGTGGGAACCACCACAGAGATAGGGATATAGGGATACCTCAAAGGTCTACATAGGCACAAGTGCAGCTCTGACTGACAT